CTAAGGCCCACTTGACTTCACATTCCAGGATGTCTGGCTCTAGGTGAGTGATCACACCATCATGATTATCTGGGTCATGAAGATTTTTTTTTTGTACAGTTCTTCTGTGTATTCTTCTTAATATCTTCTGCTTCTATTAGGTCCATACAACTTTTGTCCTTTATTGTGCCCATTTGTATGAAATGTTCCCTTGGTATCTCTAACTTTCTTGAAGAGATCGCTAGTCTTTCCTATTCTATTGTTTTCCTCTATTCTTTGAACTGATCACTGAGGAAGGCTTTCTTATCTCTCCTTGCTAATTTTTGGAACTCTGCACTCAAATGGGTATATCTTTCTTTTTCTCCTTTGCTTTTCGCTTCTCTTCTTGCCACTTTGCTTTTTTGCATTTCTTTTTCTTGGGGATGGTCTGGATCCCTGTCTCCTGTTCAAAGTCATGAACCTCCGTCCATAGTTCATCAGGCACTCTATCAGATATAGTTCCTTAAATCTATTTGTCACTTCTACTGTATAATTATAAGGGATTCGATTTAGCTCATACCTGAATGGTCTAGTGGTTTTCCCTACTTTCTTCAATTTAAGTCTGAATTTATTTTCTTTTTTACTTTTTCTTTGTTTATTGTCTTTGTAGGTGGTATTATATTTCCACTTTTTTTTTTTTTTTCCTGAAGGAGGGTACATGCATATCTTGAGAAGACTTAACAAATGAAAGATACAGTGGACAAGCATAAAGGTCATGTTTCTCAAAAACGTCCTCATTCAAACTGTGTTGTACAGTATACTCTTTGTTCCCTCAGTATTTTGCTTTGCAAATGCAAGTTTGGAAGANGTGGACAAGCATAAAGGTCATGTTTCTCAAAAACGTCCTCATTCAAACTGTGTTGTACAGTATACTCTTTGTTCCCTCAGTATTTTGCTTTGCAAATGCAAGTTTGGAAGACAACATAAATTTTATGCCTTTGAAATTGCCTGCTTCCTTTTCCAGTTTGATATTTTTCTTAGTTTTGTAATTACAATAAAAATTGCCAGATGTGTATTCAAATGTGATTCTCTTTTCATCGTTTTTTCCATAAGACCTGTGAACCTTTCAATCTGTATATACTTTCTGTGCTTAGTCACTCAGCCATGTCTGACCCTTTGTGACCCCATGGATTGTAGCTTGCCAGGCTCCTCTGTCCATGGGTTTCTCCAAGCAAGAACACTGGAATGGGTTGTCATTTCCTCCTCCAGGGACTAAACCCAGGTCTAATGCATTGAAGGCAGATTCTTTACTGTCTGGGCCATCAAGGAAGCCCGTATATACTTTCTAGAACTAAAGGAAGACTTACCTTCTAGTATATCTTTAATGTTTTCCTCTGCTTTTATTGTTCTTTTCTCTTTTTTAGAAATACTTTTTATCTGTACATTTCATGTTCATTTTTGGTTCTGAATATGACTTCTGATTTCTTTGGTTTTTTTTGGACTTTGACCTTTGCTATCTGTGTTAGTTTCTCAAATTTGTCCTTCAAATCAGTGATTGAATCTTAGTTATTTAAAGTTGAATCTTTTTTTCATATGTTTCATCAGGCTTTTGAATTTTATTTTTATTTCCTTCTGTATTTTATCAACGTTTCTTTCCTTTTATTTTCTAGAATTTGCATCTTAGAAGGGGCCAAACATTCTTGTATCCTATTGATAAAAACCAATCTCTTGACTGTATAGGAAATAATTTCCAGAGATTTTCCTTTTTCAGTTTTTTAATATTTTTTTTGTGCTTGTGCATCTTTGAATCGGTGGACTTCAGCACATAGAACTAACTACAAATATGTACTATTTCAGGTTTCTCTTGGTTTACTGTAGCCAGTTCTGATCCCAGTTCCTACCTTCCGTCAGACAAGAAGTTACTGCAGATTACTACTACAGGATCTGAGTGTGCTCTTATGCCTATAGTCTTAGTGATATTCCAAATGGAAAGATGAATGAAGGATGGGATTACTAATGTATTCCTTAATGCAGGTTCCTCTGACATTCTCCCTGGAACCACTCTCTTGTGACATGTGAGATCCTGCTTGTGGAGAACCATGTTCCTCATGCCAAAACGTGTAGGCATAAACACTTGAATGTGTTCTAAGAATTTCTGACTTCCAAATGAAGAAAAAAATTGACCGGTGGGAGACCTGAATGCCTGAAAAATCAGTACCTGTGCAGGACAACAGCAATTGCACAGTTCTTTCACTTTTCATCTGAGATTTGCTCCATAAAGGTTCAAATATGAGGCTACTTCCTGTCTTTATACAAGTGATTTTTCTTTCACAATTTAAAGCTTGTCATGCCCAAGGGTGAAGTCTGGGCAGGTTTTTCTGATGTCAACATTTTAAAACAGGAAAGTGGGGTCCAGAGAGGTTAACTAACTTTATCAAGGTCACACAGCTAACAACAGATTTGAGGGAGAGCATCAAGGTCTTTCTATTCATCATGCCTTTCCTTGGCAGAATACCACACTAACTTTCTGAAGACAAGTTTGTTCACTGATAAACCTAAAGAAAACCTGATGATCTGAGGATTCTCCAACAGTACTGAAGAGTATTTGCTTTGCAAGGAATAATGTCTAACATTCCCATCTTGAATCTTCTATAAAATAGCAGCATGATTCAATTAATGCTCACCCACATCATTTTTCAACTGAAACTTCATTGCAGTGCATTTTTACCTTCTCCTAATGCTTTCCTGATAGCACTGGCTCATGTAATTTTATCTTATTCTGACCTCCTTTGATCCTCATTATACTCCCCTGCATCCTTTGGTTTTTTTCTTGAACCTTTTTTCCCCAGATGGTACCCAACATTTTTGCTGCAGAAACCACGTATTATTCCATTTTTCTCCCATGCCACCTAGCATAAAAGTAGGCCCACAGGAAGTGTTTACACAGTAGCCTAGCCTAGGGTACAATTCTAACATAGCATGTTCCTCTGGAGACTACTTACAGGGAAATTAAAATTTAATTAATTATCTAATAGTATCTGCATTTTTCTTAAGTTGGCTCAAAATAGCTTTTATTTACCTTCTTTTGTTTCCTCGCTTACATAGGCAATTTTTTCATGGATATTAAGATGTCTTCTTGTTCAGTAAACATTTCATAAGGGTGTCCTATGTGCCGGGCATTATGCAACTCTATTAGAAAAAAAAAAAAGAATAGGATACAGTCTCTGATGCAAACATTCACTATCTGTAGAACAAAACAGACATGTATGTAAATAATCACAGCCCAATTTGGGAAGTGCTCCAATAAAGTTATACAGAGGAAGAGAAGAGATCAAGTAAAATCACTTGCCAGCATGTCAAGCTCTCTGGCTCGTTCTTCTCAGGATAAAACACAGCAAGAGAGCCCACTACCAAAGTACCAATAAAACCATAGTTCTCTGAAGACGTAAATGTATTGAACAAACCTCACCTAATCCTGTCAATGGTGCTATTTGGGATGCTAAGGGCACTGGGACCTCAAAAGGACACCAGTCGACCATGACCAACAGCATAAGAAATAATGAACATTTTTACAATGATGAAAAAATAAATCCCTTTCCTGTGTCCTTCTAAATTTACTTTGACTAGCTATTGAACAGGCGTTTCATAGATTCAATACATCACAACATATTAAGTGCGGCTCAGCTCCCGCCACCCCCGCTGCCCTGCTATGGACCGTCTCTTTCTGTTTGTATCTTGGCCATCCTCTGTGCATATAAACTAAGCATCTCCATTTCTGCTCTCAGAGTGTACCACGCCATACAACTGAGATTTCAAGAACAAATATCAACAGTGGCTAAGCCAAACATATCTTGTCAAGAGAGTGCCACTGCAGTGTAAAGATTGATTTGTTGAGGGAGGTCTTGCATATAAGTAGATGTGAAGGCAAAGACTGAGGTTAACAAGTTTCCACTGTGGGAGTTGATTTATAGCAAAATAACAAAAGGACAGTTCTGCCTCTGCCAATTACTTTCCATCTCTTCTCATATCCATCACCACAGCAGCTTTATTCACCACCAGAAATCCAATCTCTCCAGTGGAGATCCATGTAAAACTTTGTGGACAAAATGCCTGCCCTCAGAACTTATGCTTTCATGTAGACTAGGATAATTTCATGCCAGTCAGTACTGTTTGGAGGAGCTCTCTGTGCCCAGATAATGCCGAGATACACAAAAGGAATAAAAGAGAAAGAGAAGGCATGGACCTTACATGGGAGGTGTTCACAGACACCAGGCCTACAGACAAAAGTGTGTCAAGAGTGAGTTGCATAGGCTGAGTCCCCTTGCTGACCACCTGAAACTATCACAACATTGTTAATCAGCTATGCTGCCAGGTCACTTCAGTCATGTCCGTCTCTGTGTGACCCCATAGACGGCAGCCCACCAGGCTCCTCCGTCTATGGGATTTTCCAGGCAAGAGTACTGGAGTGGGCTGCCACTGCCTTCTCCATCATCAGCTATACCCCAGTACAAAATAAAAAGTAAAAAAAAAAAAAGAGTTAACTGCATAAATTCCAAACTTTGAGTGCTGGAGGTCAGAGATGGGAGACATCATTTGGCCTGGAGCAGCTAGGCATGGCTCAATAGAAGAGGTGGTGATTGAGTTGATACTTAAGGAAGGAGTAGGTTGAGAGAAGGGGTCGGTAACATATGGCTGGTGACAGTTATCACCCTCAATCCCAGTAGACTGACAGGATCCGGGCCAGGTGGCTGGATGTATAGAGAGAACAGGCAGCCATGGAGATGTTTTGATTTAGGTACCCACACACTCAACAAACAGTTATTGTATAACTTAGGCACTGAGGACCTGATATTGTTAAAGAGCCAGTTTTTATCAAAAGGAAGTTTATATCTTAATGGAAAATGCAGATAGTGAGAAGCACTTAGATAGTTGTAAGAAGGCATCAAAACCGTTGTAATGTCATGAGAGCACAGAAGGGGACATCTAAAGTGGACTTGGACATAATTCAAAGCTTTTCACAGGAACTGGTATCTGAGCTTAGAGAATGTGGATAGCAAGAGGAAGGGCTATACTGACTCAATTCTTTTGACTTCTAGAAGCCACTCTCCTAATTCCACAATTATACATGCTTTCTCTTATATACATGCTGTTGTCAGCAATATCCTATTCTAAAGCTGCTCTCCCCTAAATGGAAGCAGGTCTGACCAGGTCTAGATAAGACAAACCTCAAACAGCAGTTGGTCTATTCTACTCAAGAGTAAGATGCCAGTGCATTCCAGAATAAACTTTTAAGTTGTTTGGGGGAAAAAAAAATCTGCGACCAGCTCATAGCCGATTAATTCAGAATATCAAAATCATTGTTGGTGGCTAGACACTTTCATACTGTTCCCTAGGAACAAAACAGTCTCCTCACCCTGGGAAAAGGAAAAGGTTGTACCCTAAACTTGAAAGAAAGTGAAAGTCACTCATTTGTGTCTAACTCTTTGCAACCCCGTGTACTGTAGCCCACTAGGTTCTTCTGTTCATGGAATTTTCCAGGCAAGAATACTGGAGTGGGTAGCCATTCTCTTCGCTAGGGGATCTTCCCAACCCAGGGATCAAACTCAGGTCTCCTGCATTGCAAGCAGAGTCTTTTACCATCTTAACCAACAGGGAAGCCCAAGAATACTGGAGTAGGTAGCCTATCCCTTCTCCAGGGGATCTTCCTGATCCAGGAATTGAACCAGAGTCTCCTGCATTGCAGGCAGATTCTTTACCATCTGAGCCAGCAGGGAAAACCTATACCTGAAACTTAGTCCCAACTAATTTTCTCCTGTACCCAAAGACTGACGTTAATCACGGTCAATTAATCTAAGGCTATTGGTGGCATCTTCTGCTTAGAATGTGGTTTCACTGAGCTGCCTTTTTCTTTCAGGTTTATAATTTTAATCTGCTTTGGGACTGCAGAGTTAAGTGTTATCTTTGTAAGGTTTAATCATAAAATAAGTGCCAATGAGTCATGATGACCATGCGTAGGAGTTAGGATTTGATATCTCATTGTCACTGTTTAAACCAATGAGCTAACTTTCATTTAATTCCAGGCTTTTATTCCTGTTATTAAAATTCTAAATTGCCATAAGATTGACACAGAACAATGGGTCATTACTATTTTCAATGTTACAACATAAAGATTTATTGATTTATAAGGGAGGCAAAGTTATAAAACCTAGAGCCAGAAAGGATCTGTGTCTTAAGAAATCAACCACCCTCCTGGAGTTCAGTTATCCTCAGAATATAAAGTGAAGATAAAATAGAAGCCAACAGGAAACCTACTCTAGTGATTTAGTGACGAGGTTGTGTGAAAGGTATAAAAAATAACATTTTAAGCTGCTTTTGCAAATAACCCTCCATTTTCCATTCTGAAACTCATGGACTGGTAAGTTTAGCTTTGATAATGGAGCCATTTGAACTGTTTACCTTTTTGAAAACTGAAAATGAGTTTTGAAACAGAAGCAGTGTCAAACAAGAGAAGGCTATCTAATTCTGTATTTAGTTGTAGATACATTGGACTAGAACTCCTTTGGAGCAAATATGGAGCTAGTTTGGTCCCAGCTAAAGCAAATGTGGAGATACGACAGTGTCCCATTAATGAATTTTTGGAGTACTTCAGATTTCTAGACTTGAGGTCACTAGTACCCAGAGATCCTGGCCCACAAGATGAGTTCAGCTTTTGTGTTTATATTAACTCTGGAAAATATGTAATTCCTGCCCATAACCTCCATACTATAGAGGTCATCATAAATTCTTGAAAAGAAAAGATAGGGGTAGAGAAAGAGATAGGAGCACATGGATTCTTGATATTTGGAACCACATTCCCTCTGTTTCATGTTAGATCAAGAGCTCTTTCTTCCTACCTATCCATCTTTTTAAAATTCAAGAAACACAGAATGCTGTTAGGTTCTGATTATATGACTCCGGATAAGACACACCTACTCTTGCCCACATATGGCATGCAACTAAACTTGCTTCCTTTTCATTCTATCATTGAAATTCTGCCTTCAGCCTTGTGGTGGCTTAGAAAGAAATTTTCCACAGAGAATTCCACAGTAGCAATAAAAGAGAAATATAAGTAGACCACTACCATTGAATTTGATTCCTTTTTAAAAATTTACTTTTTTTTCAACAGCCTACCAATCACCTGCTTTGACTGACAAGCTATTTGTGGAGGGAGGGAGGAGCATAGGACTAGATGAGTTCATATTTCTTCCCTTAGAGAGTTCCAAATTTTGAAAGGGAGAGAAGGTTCTTCCACACCAAATAGCCCATAAACCCAGTCAAATTTGCATGTAACCTGATGACTCGGTTGATTGGGCCCCAGTACTTTGCTTTTTATTATCCATTCATATATTTTTTCATGCAATCACTCAATAGTAGTTGGACATACATTAAAGATAAGGCACTTATATGCACAAGATGTTTTGAATCATGGGAACAAAGTCAAGGACAGCACTGAAGGGCCCCTATGAATTCTGTAAACAACTTCCAGACACTTTCAAACAAAAGGCATTACCTATCTTACTTGTCTCAGGAGACCCTAACTTCCAAAGGAACAAGCTCTTTAAGTTTTGGTTTGAGTTAGCAGTTTTATTCATCTCCTTCCTTGCCACATGTCATCTCCTCCTCTCCACCCCTCAAATAAAACCTATATAGAATTTCTTATGCAAACACATACACCAAGAAGCATACTATACTATCAGGCATTGCCTGATCTTGATACTTTCGAATTGTGCTGCTTGGTAAGATTCTTAAGAGTCCCTAGAACTCTCTAGAGTCCCTAGAAAAACAAGGAGATCAAACCAGTTAATCCTAAAGGAAATCAACCCTGTATTCACTGGAAGGACTGATGCTGAAGCTGAAGTTCCAATACTTTAGTCACCTGATGTGAAGAGCTCACTCCTTGGAAAAGACCCTGATGCTGGGAAGGATTGAAGGCAAAAAGAGAAGAGGAAGGCAGAGAATGAGATAGTTGGATTGCATCACTGACTCAATGGACATGAACTTGGGCAAACTCCAAATGATAGTGAGTGTCAGGGAGGCCTGGCAAGCTATAGTCCATGGGGTTGCAGAGAGTAGGACATGACTTAGCAACTGAATAGCAACAACAAAAATGCCTGATCTATCTTGTCCTTAGGTTGGGTGACCTGCAGTTTCTGAGGAATCAGTAGGAATCTCTATTTTCCTGCTAGCATCTCCTCCTATCAAAAAGAGTTCTAGAAATGCTTATAGAGATGTAGCAATGCCTAAATTGTGTGATTTTTTTCCTTAGCTTGTTATTTTTTACAAGAGAAATAAAATGAAGTCTGAGCAAGGTTTATACTGATTTTTTTCAAACTATCACCCTAATACATCCTAATCTTTCAATTCTAATTGGACACACAGAAGTCAACAATCAAGCTTTATTTCCAGCTTCTAATTGGCTGTAAACTAGTGAGCATGTACTTTTACTAAACTTCGCCCATCAAGACTATCTGCCATCACAGCATCATAGATTCAGCTCATTATAGCAGCCCACCTGAAGCTCCCCTTGCCCCTCATCCATACTGCCAAGCCAATTACATTCACGAATTTGCCATGCAATTCTGCTTTCAGCTTCACAAACTGTTACTGTGAGAAGATAATGCAAACTCTTGGCTATTACTTTTTATCTTAGTGAAAGTCCTACTCTAAGTCAGTTTCCCACTTGTCCTAAGTCTGGCTTCTCTACTAAATTCATCTGTTTCTCTGGACCTTTAATCCATCGTCTCTTTTATTACTAGAACTGCCGTTGCCTACCTCTCTTCTGAGCTAGTGAATCCCAGCACACTCGCACATCATAGGTGCAGTTTAACTTAAACACTGCTTATAATTGAGTCTCTTCTAAGGAGAGACTAAGAAGAGGCCCCATTGGGGTGGGGTAGCAATGACAGTTTTAAATTTGGATGTATAATGACTTACAGTCAACTTGAAAGTTCTCTCCACCATTTTGGACATATTTTTTCACAAGGACATTTGTCATAGTCTGTCATGTTGATAGATTTTTGCAATGCTTATATGCTGTTCTAAAAGTAGGGCTCCCTGAAGGCAGGGTCTGGGTTTTATATTTTTTCACGCTCCCCTTCCTCCAGTTGATCACATTGCCTTAGGTATAGTAGGTGCTTAACAAATGTGCACCGAATGGGTGGATTCCAGCTGCCTCTATCATTTCCTCCCTTGCTGTCCTGAATTGGGATGTCACAGAAGACCAAGCTCTGCTGGGTGAATGAACTGTCCTGGGGCACTATTTAGTTCTCAAATGCAAATCACACATACTCCGATTGAGAAGCACAGGCTTCTTAAGATGTTGGGAAATGTGCCTTTTGATTGAAGGGAGGGTGGGGTGTGTCACTTATCACCTTCCAGGAAAGCCTCCACTAACCAGGACACAATGAACCATAATTCTTAATTAGAATTTACTTCTAATTTAAAAAGAAAGAGATAAAGGAGAGAAAACTTGTTCACACTGAGGAGTTAGTAAAATAAGAGGTGGTGAAATTAAACATAACCACATTATTGAGGAAGATCTTAGTTATAGCTCTGTCTTCCACATAATATTCTTCCTCACTTCCTGCTCAGGGACAGGAAGATCACACCTGCAGTTTTTTAATTAATACAGAAAATAATACTTGAGCAAGTCATTTATTACTAAAATGTTTGAAACCCAGATAGTATTCTGAAGGTGTTTAGATTTATAAACTATTACAATAAATACTGTAAGGGGTGGGGCTCAAAGCTCTTAGGAAAAAAAAAATTAAATATTACTTAATGAATTAAAGCCCTGATGCCTTGTGTGACTGGTAGAAGAGGTTCTTTACCTTCTCCTGGACGAAGACATGAGGGACTTTCTGACAATGATTCTACCTTCCAGAAAGACTGGAAAAGTAACCACTGTCCTCTCTTTCTCCCTCTCCAAAAGAGAGGGACAAATTAGACTGGTCAGAGTCAGAAGCTTACTGCAACCTGTTGACAGTAATGCACAGGTGCATCCTCACTCCTTCTGAGACTTGCCAGTCTCCTGGACTGGTCATCAGGGTAGTGAGCTTTCATCTGCTTCCTTCTCCCTTGTAGGAGTTTCTCTTTCCCATGTGAGGAAGACACATCCTTTAATCTCTCCCTTTGCGATTGGTGGGTAATGAGGTCTCCACATTCCTGTGAACTCAGTTGACCCCCAGTGAATTGTTAATGGAGTATAATGCTCTATTTGGTTCCTCAAAATATGTTTCTTTTAACCAATTTACCAGAAACTAGTTATTAATCACAATGAATAAAGCTGGTGTTTTAAGTCTTGGATGGATTATTATTTAATTATTTATTAATATTTAATTATTGTTTATTGTACCTATTCTTTCCTTAGATGAATAGCTGGGGAAGGGAGGATGGTGGAATTATCACTTTTAACTTCTAACCCTCAGTTCAGTTCAGTTCAGTTGCTCAGTTGTGTCCGACTCTTTGCGACCCCATGAATCCATACCAGGCCTCCCTGTCCATCACCAACTCCCGGAGTTTAATCAAACTCATGTCCATCGAGTCAGAGATGCCATAAAGCCATCTCATCTTCTGTCGTCCCCTTCTCCCCTGCCCCCAATCCCTCCCAGCATCAGGGTCTTTTCCAATGAGTCAGCTCTTTGCATGAGGTGGCCAAAGTATTGGAGTTTCAGTTTCAGCATCAGTCCTTCCAATGAACACCCAGGACTGATATCCTTTAGGATGGACTGGTTG